GGGCAGTTTGCAACTTTCTATCTTAAAATAAGCATTCTGTAACATAAATTCTTAGGCTTGCAGCAAGGTTATGAAACCCATAAGAGTAACACATGCCCATTTTCTGGGCCTCCAACTACAGTCCTCCATAGTTTCACTTAGATGGAGCCAACTATACTCTCCAAGCAAACCAAGCTTACTAGATAATAACTACATCATATTGAAATAAAAAAACAATTTTCCAACATACATATTTTATAATCAAAACTGTTCTTAATTCTGCCTATAGGTTAATCCTGATAATTTAGCTAAATGATTTGGTACTCAAATGAATAAGCTATTTACCAAAAATTGATGATATATAAATTTTTATTAAAGTGTCAAATTACATCTGTGAAATTTCAGATATGCTCAGTATTTCACAAGTTCTTCCAATCATTTTCCAATATAATTTGCACTTACAAAATTTCTGCTTAGCTAGAAAAGTTTGAAACTGATCAGGTCCATTAAGCCAAGATTATTAGTCTTCCATCTTCCACAACCGCAATCTTAAGATATTTCTCTTGTACCTACTATGAGGAAGACAACATGTCATGTTCTATGAGGCATACACAGATGTATAAGATGCAGTCTCTAAACTCAAAGAAACTACCAGTCTAATAACTGACACAGAAAATTTGAGAGCATTGCACAGTGAATACCACCTAAATTCTATAATTAACATTTTACTACACAGCATTTCCTGTAACTGTATTTGCTTTATCTATATTTTAATTTTTCATGGACCTAACTATTCATCCCTCTTTACATCCATCATCTTTTTTTTTTTTTAAGATTTTATTTCAAGTAATCTCTACACCCAACATGGGGCTCGAACTCACAACCCCGAGATCAAGAGTCCCATACTCCACCAACTGAGCCAGCCAGGCACCCCCTAATGTATTTCAAAGAAAGTTGCAGGCTTAAGTATGTTTCATACCTAAATACTTCAACATACCTATCATTAGCCAGAGCTTAATAGTTTTTAGCTTTTTTAGAGGAAATTTACAAATATGAAATGTACAAATCTTAAGTGTCTCAACTGCAAATTTTACAAATGCTTACACCTCTGTAATCCAAACCCCATCAAGATTTAGAACATTATACTGTCACCTAAAAAGTTCCTTCTTTGCCCATTCGCAATCTCCACCCCAACTCCCACCTAGAGGGAACCACTATTAGTGATTTTTTTCCTACCATAGATTAGTTTTGCAGATAATTTTAAAACTCAAAATTTAAAACAAAGCGTGATCAACAGACTGAGGAATCAAAAAAGGCTTCATGTGGATGGAGAGATGCATAGATACATGATAAAGTAAATATAACAAAACGCTAACAACTGTAGAAATTAGGTGGTGGGTATAGGGGTGTGCCAGTTATCAATTTACTATCCCTCCACTCCAAATCTACTTTTCTTCGTCCTGCTTTGTGACACTAGAAACATTTTTCCTTCGCCAGCTTTAGAGAGGACAATGGAGTGACCCTGTAATGTGAAAGCAGCAAAGAGACACTTGCCTTTTGAATTCAGGCCTCCATCATAATCATTATCATAACAATTATATTATCATTATTATTATTGTTATTATTCAGCATGAGAGCCCAAGAGCCTTGCTGAGGAGACAAGTTCCAGCTGTGGCCGTGGCTCCAGCCTCCCCACTGACAGCGGGCACTTTTCTAGACCACATAGCAATAGTACACATGCCTTTTCTGAACAGGTCTCCATACAAGCTCTGGGAAAAAGGGCCCTTTTCTTCTGCCTCATCCTAGAAATATTAGCTGCTCTTTAACACCTGCTACTTCTAGAACCCTTAGACTCAGAGCTCTTTTATGCCTTTTAGTATAACCACCTCCTTGTTCTAGTTAACATTTCATCATATTAAATTTTCAAAACCAGCAGAGGTCTGTCTCCGACTAAACTCAGACTACTATAAAGGGTTATTCACTGTACAGCTTTTCTGTATGTTTGAAAATGTTGGGGGAGCAGAGAAGCAAGAAGGCATATATTTTTTTTTCTTGCAAGCAAAAATGGGTTTATTCAGGGGTAACAGAGAATTGTACTTTGGGGCATGCAAACTATGGCAACTCAAAAAAAAAAAGGGAAGGGAACATTATTTGAGGAAATTGGGAAGAGTTGTTTAAAGTCCGTCCATTGGGGAAATTGACTGATTTGCAGGGGTATTTGATTTCTCGTAGGAGATACCATGTACATCTTTACCAGTTGAAGCCTGTACTGGATGATTCATTCTTTTGATGATTCTCTGCAGGGGTCTATAATTGACAATTCTTCCTGTAATTGATGTTGAGTGGTATGGTTACCCCGTCTAGCCTCCCCTTCTATCCTCCTGATTCCACTTAACTGATGTTGCCCTATATTAATTTTCACAGCCATTTTGGATATATATCTCCTTCCTTTATCACCAATTTCCCTCACTTTTAGCCAGCATTTTGGCTGATCTGTATTGTTTGTTTGCCTATTGGTGTAACCAGAGCTTTCATTCCTGAAGGATCTGAGCCCTTAGCTGCCCTGCTCTTATTGGATTGTGGCTTCTGCAGTTGTCTATACAAAGGTCTGACAGACCCAGTTTAGGCGCTTCCCCAGATTTGCTTGGCCTTCCCTGCTGACTGGACCTTGGCTGCTTGCATATTTTAAAAGACTGATAAACTGTTAATAATTGTTAAAGCTGGATGATGGACTGAGAAAATTATACCACTATCTCTTCATTTGTTTATGTTTTAAATTTTCCGTAATACTTTTTAAAAAAGGGGGGTGGGGGGGAGAAAGGTTTCATAATGGCCAAAGCATTTATAAAGAACCTGGTGGAATGGATTTTTTAACAGGCAGAAACAGAGGATAAGACTCCAGTTAAGGAAAAAGCACATATAAAATATGGAGGCATAAAATCAAAGGACATGTTTTAGCAACAGCAAGTAGGTTGGCTAACGTGTAGTAAAACGCAAATGAGTGTGCTTGGTGAGATTTTTTTTCCTCCCTTTCACTTCAGTATTAATTCTTCACATTCAAGTGCTTTCTTTTTGGCCTACTCTCCTGTCCCTGCTCTGCCCATACTTCTACCTACTGTCCAATGGGGTCTAGCTCTTCCCACTCTTCCTCACGTCTTATGAGCCATAAATTGATCCACTGCATCCTTTTTGTATCTTAATTTCTTCAAACATGGGCATAATTTTATGTCTTTGGACATATTTATGGAAAAATGTAGATATGTCTGCACTTATACACCCGTATTTTTTTACATTTAAAAGCCATCAGCAGTAACATAAAACAAGTTTCCATAATATCTAGTAGGGGATAAGAAAAAGCATTAGTTGATTTTTTTATTATTTAACAACTCATGTGTCTTTTTTATAATTAAAAAATGTATCTATACACACAAGAGTGAGCGTATGTGCATGTGTGTCAACGTAAGATCTCTGGGAAGGGACTGGTAATATTCTTTGTTAAACTGGGTGGTTGAGTACAGTTGAACAAATAATAAAATGAATACCCAATATTTTCTCCACCCACCCATATATTTAAAGCACACTCAGGCCAGCGTCCAATTATATCTCTTTTTTCCCCTTCCTTAGAAATGACAACTGTGGTGAAATTTGATTTACAAAAAGCATGTTTGTTTCATTCAAACTGAAAATATTAAAAATTATAAAACCAGCTAGATATTTAATAGGAAGAACTCATAAAAGAGATAAAGAAAACAAATATATCCAAACACAACATATGACAATTCATTAGAAGCACATAAGAACATGGACTTGTTGTACACATTAAAGTATACAGATACCCCAGTGAGGCTCCTTTCCCTCCTAATCCCCATTACTGGTAAGGTCCTCAACTGCCATTCTATTTCAAGCTTCTACATGTGTTATATGCTCTTCCATCAATTTAAATGTGGCAGGAACAAAGGTATTCCAAAACAGTAGAGAGCAGCAGACAGATGTTGTGTGGTATCACCCAGGCAATGACCTCTGCTTTCTCAACCCTTTCTGGGCTCACTGATGCAAAGTCTGGCTCAAGATCCAGGATAATGCAATGTTTGGAAACATTCGTTCAAATTGGCACACCAAGACTGTTAAAGTAAGTTCTTCCAAAATACAAAGGCGATGGTCAAGACTAGAATTGGGTTTTTTTCTTGCCTCTGACCGTACTCTTCCTGTGTAGTCAGTATCACAAACAGCTATGCACTCCATTGTACACCCGGGGCAAAAGAAACGCCCCCACAAAGATATGTGGCAGCTGTGCCTGCTCTGGGTGATGCCTTGCTTCCACTAAGTTCTAGCAGCTGTGCAAAAGAACTTTCTGTGATAATGAAAATGTTTGATATTCTGTCCCATGTGGTTATTGAACACCTGAAATATAGGTAGTGTGACTGAGGAACTGGATTTTTAATTTTATTTATTTTATTTAATTTTAATTAATTTAAATTTAATAGCCACATGATTCATAGCTACAGTCTTGAGTAATATAATTCTAGAGTTTTAGTTTAAAAAAAAAATCAGGAACTTAAAGCATGTATGGTTGCAAATTGTCTTAACTGCCAACCCAAAACCCTACTACAACACTGCAAATGTGGTTCTACCTCCTACCTTAGCTGCCTGGCAAAAACATCCATTTGTCTTCATTCATTCAAGGCAGCACCTCCTTTGAAAAGTCCTGGCACCCCAGAGTTACTAAGTCTTTATTACTACCAACCAGGTCATACCATGTTATCATTACAGGTTTACATAGTTGTATTCCCTGCTATTATGAGGGCTCTAAAAAGGCAGCAATTGTGTCATATTAATCTCTAATTTCCCACAGCCTAATAGGGTGCCACATCCTAAGGCCCTTGCCCTACATTTTCCTAGCCAATTTATTAAGCCGGTCTTCACCTAACTACTCGCAGCTCTTTACTACTCTACCATTTGAAATCTCATAATCCCATCCACAACAAACATCTTAGAACTGCAGAAATTCCAGGTCATTTTACCTGTATCAAAGGGTGTGGTGTTTTACCTCCATATATGATTGTTCAGTAGAAAACACTGTAAAATAGTGAAAATGATGCATTTAGAAAATCATGGGGCAATAACGAAGAGGTAGTTTGACATAGAATCTGCAATTCAGGACAAGACACAAATTTGGGAGTTTTCTGACATAGACGTAATCATGCATTTGACATTTGTAACATGCAACTCATGACTTATATCACTTAGGGATTAAGTGTAGACCGAAGGACAAAGGCATTCCAATGTTAAGAAGTCAGAGGTAAAAAAGAACATTCGAGGAACTGAAAGGGGCAACCAGCGACGTAAGAGGAAAACCAGAAAAGTATGATTAACAAGTGAATAAAGTGATTCAAGGAAGACAGAACCATTCAGTTATGATAAATGCAGTTTTGATAAAACAAATTGGAAAGGTGTTATATTCTTTCCCATAATAGCAAACCCTCCAAAAGAGTCTACCTTAAGAGAGTAAAACTGAACGATGCCACTTGGCGTTCAATTACCAGTGATAGAGAAAAACTAGAAGTTACAGCAATGTTATCTAATATAGATACTGCACTCATTTTCTTTACAGATATGCTATTCCAGAACACCACATCTTCCTTTCAATATCCACATCAAACAAGGTTTCAAGGAGCACTACAACTCTCTTGGGCAGCATTTATTTTAAATAAAAACCTCTTGTTTTACCAGTTGAGATTCTGCCTGAAACAACCAGTGTCTCCCATACAGCTGCCACACTTTACTTAGAAATGCAGGTTTGGCATAATTTAAAGGTCAAGATGGTTTATACAGCAGACAGTTTCCAAAAACGAATGGGCAAAACTGTCAACATTCACGGAGGTCTTAAGAAAAAGTTAGATCCGTGAACTGTGAGCTCCAGGAAGGGAAGGGCTCATTTAATTTCCCACAAGGCAAGCGCTCACTATTCTTTATTTAACTCTGAAAGAGCTGCATCTTACAGAAGGGAGGGCGCGAGAACTTCAGGGCACTACACCCTCCAGAATGCTCTTGCCCTAACAGCGCTGAGTAGGGACCGGCGAGGCTGCGGGGACCCACCCAGTAGGTCAGCACCCGGGTAGATAAAAGCAACGCCGGATGGCGCACAATCGCATTCCGGACCCTAAGGTTAACAGAAAAACCCTTGCCCTCGGGCCCGGGCTCACCTGCCTCTTGGAGTGGGGAAGACGCGCGGCCCGTGGCCGCCTCAGAGGGGCGTCCCCGCAAGCTGCTCAGCTCGTCACCGGACACTACCCAGAGCGGAGGGTCCCCCCTGGCAACTAGGGAAGGAGGACCCGGCAGGCCGCGGCGCGCTCGCTCGGTCTCTTCTGTCTAGGAGCTGCAACAGCCACAAATCCCTCAGGTAACTCCCCAGCGGCTCGGGCGTGCGCTCGCTCTCCAGCCTCGTCGCTTAGCAACTTGCGAAGCCTTCCAGTCTTCGCGACACGTCAATTCCGCCCGCCCCTCCAGAGTGTGAATAGTTTTTTAAAAAGACTTTGTTTCCGGGTCGAGCCGCTTCTACGCAGCGGAAGGTCTCTTTACCTCCCACGTTTACCCTTGGGGTAAGATAAGTCTCACTTGCGCACGAGGGGGTGATGTAGCTAAAGGGTCTGTATCTCCTCCCTCGAGTTCCACATGCCTCCCCTCCCACCAATTACTGGGCGCCAACAGGCGGGTCTTTCCTCTTCAGCACAAATCTTCTGCTCATCGCTGTCCTCCAATCACAGCGGCCCGCCCTCAGGGACTACTTTGCGATGGCGAAGAGCGCAGGGAGAAGGGCGTGAGCAGACCCTCTGACCTCGGGAAGTGTAGTTCAACACTTGAAGGAAATGCGTTGGAGAGTGCGCCAGAATCCGGCCACCATAAACTACAGTTCCCAGAGGGCGCTGCGGTTGGGAGATGAGCATTTTCTTTCCAACATCGCTCGCCCTCCCCAAGTCAGTTCCGCGGTAGAGGTGACCCAATTCTTTGAGGCTCGTTTTGCAGGTGCTGAAATTGTTCGCGCACTTCCTAATCATGGTGAGTATTGGCGCCTGGATCCTGCCGACCCCCGACCTTCGCGCTCTTGTGTGGGGTTTCTTGCATTTGAAGGACTTTCGGGGCGGGGGGCGACTGTGCAAGGCACTGTCTTTCCAGCCCTTTGGAAAAACCCGTCTCATCTTTTGGGGACTGTCGCAGTGACCCAGTAATTGGGAAGGGGTCGGTTTCCACTGGGGAGCTCTTACAAGGACTCTGGAGAAATTTGTCCTTGGAGAGGCTTAATCTCAGTCCTGCTGCGTGGTGTGGGTACAAAATAAGCTGCGGGTTTTCTCCAAAGCACGATATAGGGTTTGATAAGGATGCTAAGGTTTGATATGGGAGGCGGGGATGTTTGGTTCCTAACCCCCCCCTTTTTTTATTGAGCCAACAGTGTTTTTAAGGGCTTTTGTCACAAAGCCCTTGAAAGCAGAAGGCCCTCAGTTGTAAAGATTGTGCTTACCAGGTACTCCAGATAACGATCGACGTTTTCGAGAGACGTGTTTCCGCCATATCTAATTTCACAAAATGTTATTTAAAACCTGTTCATTGATCTCCTTTTGTAATGACAGGACGTGTTGCAGTTATGGCATCACTAGGCAAAATCTAGTGTAGATACTCTTTGCTGGTCTGTAGGTTATGAATTCTAGAGCGACTACTTGTAATGTTACACAATGTAACCATCTTGTGAAGGTCTGGATACCTAGATCACCATATCTTGTCTCTGCTGAAAGGGAGAAGCGGGGGGGGGGGGGGGCCGGCGTGAGGGAACTCTGTCGTATGAATAATCTGCGTGACGTTTGAAGGTGACACTTGACATCAAATTTCTCCAGTACTTGTATTTATAGTTGAAGTTATTCTTCCTCCGTTATCTCAAAATACTGAAATAGGTGGGAACTATGGGGCAATACTTGAATGAATTGGAAATTTTCCAGAACCTGAAAAGACATATTTTTAAGGCAAGGGGATTACTGCCTCTGCCTTTATAAGGGTCCAGTGGGGACACCTACTAATTCTCAGTAAATCTTAAACCTCAGTTTCCTACTTATAATTTAGTCATTTAAATGATGGTTTCGGTGGTCTCTGACTTAATGATCTTAGCAAGAATGCGGAAGTAACAGAGAACCTGAGACTTTATAATTTTAGAACTGGATGGGACCTTTAAAGATCATTTTGATAAATCTCCCCCCACTTCAGATCTTAAAATTGAGTTTATTGAGACCCAAAGAGAATGATTTGCTCAAGGTCATACAACAGTTTGCTCCCAGGAGCCTTACAGCTTTTTCCGTCATACCATATTGTGCCATACAATTATCAAGTCATTTTGAAAATTTATTTTCAGTAGCTGAGGTTCTGGAGGAACATACAAATTGCAAATACAAACTAAAGTATTTTATCAGCATTTATATTACCTGATAGCTTTATTCCCCTGCAATTCAGAATATTGGAATTCTAGACTTAGAAGGGAATTTGGAGATTATTTACTCTAATTTTAAAAGGTAGCCTGGTGAGGTTAAATGATTTTTCCAAGGTCACAGGAAGAATCCTGGGCCCCCATTCTTACGTTGTTTTGCAACGCAGTAGATAAAGACAGGCCTCACCCCTGGAAGGTCCCTTGGGCACCAGATAACACAGAGATGTCCCTAAGAAAGAACACTCCTACTGTCAGTTTACTGAAACTGACAGCCCTCTCAGGTGACTCAGAATCTCCTTGCCTCCTCAGGAGACCATGTGAACAATCACTGAGTTTAAAAAGAGCCATCTTTTGTAAGCTGTTCAAAGCAATTTTTTTAAAAGAAGGAATAGGGAGGGACAGCAAGGATTAACTGTATGAAGAAATCTGAATGATAGTTTGTTTTTTATATTACAGAAATATGTGTAAATTAGAAAGTAAAAAAGGAATACATGGGTCTTTCTGTAGAATAACAGAAAGAACACTTACTTTCAGCTTTACAACGGAGACTTGAGCACATGCGCAAGGCAGTCTGAATCTGCAGGAAGGTCATTAGAGCCCTGCCAAGAGCAGAGACATTCCTGCTTTGGATCTTGGCAGACTGCCCAGATATCTAAGCAAAGAATAGTAACCTGTCTTCACACTGTAACATTGTAGAAAGTCAGCAGGAATCTCCCACCCTCCTGATTTTCTACTGCAATGTTGCAAAGAGCAAAAAGAATCAAATACACATATCCTTTCCCATTTCATAATCAAACATTCAGGCATTTACTAGGCTTCATATTACTCTTAATAAGATAGAATTACTTATCTGTGAAAATAATTTGTTCATAGACATAGAACAAGGCAACTGCTGAGATGGAATTAGCAGCTGTTCATTAGTGGCCACAACCACTTCACTAAGGACTGTGATACTGGGAGCATGTTTTTTAGCAGCTAATTTTTATTTCTTATCTTGGCCTGCTTACATTGAAGTAGCATGTGTTTATATTTTTCTTAACTCTTTTATTAATTCAACAAATACTTGTTGAACACTGTATGGGAGTACAAATTTGAGTCAAGGGCAGACTGCTCTCACAGCAAGGGGGTGGTGGTTCACCGTCTAGTAGAGAGTAACAGACATGTAAGTAGAACACCACAAGGTGTAAGAATCCTTAGAGGAAAATTTTATGGTGACAGAGACCTATAATTATAGTATTTGCTACATACTGTTCTTAATGCTTTGTATGTTAACTCTGAATCCATACAACTACCTTATTTGTTAGGTAGCTGCTATCATTATCTCCACTTTACTGTGGGGAAACTGAATACAGAGGTTAAGTAACTTGTCAAAAACATACAGCTGATGAGTTGTAAGTCTAAGTTTGAACCCAGAACATCTGGCTTTAGAGGCTATCTCTTTACTACACTCTGCCACCTCTCTAGCCCCCTGTTTTAGAAAATTGGGTTATCCTCTTGTTTCCTGCATATGGTTCACCAATGGATTCTCTGGCCTAAAATAGTACCAGGTACATAATAGAGATTCAGTAATGTATTTAATGAATGAAGTGAAATAACAGTTCATTAGTTGATTTATAAAACTATATCATTAGAACTGGTGACATAATTTTGCTAATTATAGCTGGAATTATTGTGGTCACTAAGTTTCCAACCCTATCAATGCAAGTATATATGAATAAAATATCTTAAACAGTTTTTTGAAGCATGTTAGGTTTGCTTCCAAACAATTCTTTTCCATTTCCAAGTTCAGGATAGTAATTGTACAAGATCCAGCTATTCCTTCATCAAGTATTTGAGCTCCAACTATGTGCCAGGCATTGTTGTAGGCAGTTGGAATACAACAGTAAATAAAACAGACAAAGCCCCTGTCCTTAAGGAGCTTGCATTCTAAAGCGAAAGGAGGAATAATTTCTTCCTCTATTCCCTCACCTCTCTACTTCAAGGGAATAGGGGAAAATGACAGAATTAAAAACATATAAAGGCCATATGATAAAAAAAATAACCATATATGATAACTTTTAGCGTTCTTTATAAACCTAAAGTCTGTTGGAAACATTAAGAATGTATTGTAAAAAAAAAAAAAGGTTTATTTGGGGAATTACCATATTTTGTCTTTGTAGGGGTATGAAGGCCTAGGGGAAAAGTTGGTGAAGAAAATGGGGAAGGGACTTAGAAGGTCAGGGAGTTAACTCTCCATAGTTTTCTCCTTTTTTGCACTTACATCCTGGTCACACCTGTGAGGAAGAAATGCACATATAGTCTGCTACGTACAGTTTCATATCTCTACAAGCAGTTGACACTTCTTTCCTGAGATTTTTTTTTCCTTTGATTTCTCTGGGTGTCAAATTGCTAAATGCTGCTGACCTTCAGAGGTTAGGATTAGAAGGTCAGAGGACATAGTCTCCTTCTACCCCAAAGACATGACTCACCTGGAAGAGGGAATTCTAAATATAAAGATTCATTTCAGTGGACCACTTTTCTCATGCAGGTAACAATAGAGGTGACTCAGTGAAAGTCTGTTTACACAGTATTCTCAAGAAAAGGAACAGTTCACCTTGATCAAATTTGTACATCTAATATATCCGTTAAGTTTTCAAACATTTTTGTTCAGTTCTTTTTAATAGAAATATTTCTATTTAATTCTCTGAGCTTCTTTTTTTTAGTGACTCAGGATCATCACTTTGAATATTGGTTACTATTTTTTTTACATATGCCTGTATTTTGTTTAGGGTCTGTTGAGGTCTGTAAGGCGACTTCTATTATAACTATTATCCTCTTTGTACTTCTTCCTCCTCTCTTTTAAAATTAATTTTCCCTTGGAATCAGGTTGTCAGCTGTCACTATATTTTGATGTAGTTATTTAATACTAAAATTTATTGTAATCCAGTATTCTCTTGCTTTTCTTTCTCCTTAAATAAAAAATAAAGACTTATTTTTCCTCCTTCAAGTAGTCAAGTTGAATCATGATTAGTAGTTTTATTAAAACTTTCTGACTTACTGTAAGTGGAAAACTTTAACCACTGTCACTCCCCTTCCTGGCGTGAAGGATCCCTATTCTAGCATATGGGGCGTGGGGGTATTTGCATAAGAGGATTTATAAGGTTCCAGTCGCTGCCAGGGTTTGTATCACCATATAAGGCACATCAACATTGTTAGGCCTATTTCAGTGGCAAAACAGCCTTAAAGAGATGGATAAGATTTTGTAAGTAAATCCAGGATAACAGTGAGAGTTAAGTAACACCGCATAAATAGCTAGCCAAAGGACACATGTTCCAGAAGTTGCTCAGCAGA